GTTTAAGCAAGCGAATGAGCCAATTGGAGTAAAGTGCCATGCAGATTTAAATTTTTCCCACTTGTGACGAATGCAGCTATCGATTTTTTTTTGCTAGTTAACATTCGTGTCAGTCAGCTGTTGGCTCTCACGCTGGCCAATAGAATCTTCCTGCCTATTCGTGGCAGCCAGCTATAGGCTCTCACTCTGGCCAGAAGTAAATGGCCGCAAACTACATGAAAAGTGCCGTAGAAGCATGGAAAATCGATTATTTCCACTATCGATGGGAGTTGGGAAATGCAAAGTCGATCTTGGCCTTTCCGCTAACATGGAACATGTGCATGTAAATTTTGGTTCAAATCTTTCGAAAATTGCGGCCGTGCATTCGTTACACACGTAACACACACACACACACACACACACACACACACACACACACACACACACATCCTGCCTTTTATAGATAGAGATTCGTAATTTAACTAAAATAGATGCCAATGTACCGTTTAATTAAGCCATTCACTTAATTCACAATAATATTTCCACATCAACCTATCACATGAATATATATATATATATATATATATATATATATATATATACACTAGTGTGTATCCGTGCCATCAAAAATGACGGCAAATTTTAGAAAGTTTTAATAGTGAGATGCAATGAAACAAAAGTCTTGAAAAAAAGATTCAATAAAATAGAGATAAAGAATTCACAATTAAAACAGGAAGCAATGAACCATTTAATTAATTCTGTTCCTTTTATATTTTTTAGATACTCAATTGTATCTAAGATTCATTGATTATTCCTGGTATTATATAAATCGCTTTTTTTTCTCAATATCTTTTCGTGTTATGTGTCTAATATAACAGGGAAATGAAAATTAATCTCGGACGAAAAGATTAGTAACAGAACGACAAAGATGGCGACAGCAAAGCCTATTTCAAGACCAAGTTGAAACAAGACGATCACTTAATAGACTAATGTGTCTGAGTACCTCACATGAAAGGCTTGATCAAATAAGACTGCAATTTAATAAACGTAGGATTAAGGGAACGGATGAATTAAACGGTCCATTTTACTTGGGAAGTAATTTTAGGTGCTACTAGAGTATGATATTTACTGGGGTAAATGACAATGCACTTATTATTGCTGGAAAAAAAAGCTCAGTAAAAACGATGAGCTGTTTACTGTTTTTTTAAAAGTCATCAAATTAATTTACAAACATTAAAATCATAATGAAACTGATTAATTAAACGGTTCATTTTGCTCGGGAAAGAAGTTTATCTAAATGCGGATAAATATTTTACGTGTATAGATTATTAAACCGAGTAAGAGAAGTAATCACTCATAAATTGACTAACTTAAGTTTATTTACCTGCCTTCCCACTACAGATGGGACAGGAAAAATATAAATAAATAGATATTAATAGTTATTATATGATTTGATATTTATCCAATACAATGGAATATTCCTTTTCAACCAAACTTGTCAGCGCCGCTACAAACTAGTATCCTGATATCGTTACAAACTGAAAGCTGGCGTTATGACTAGCAGAGTTAATCCTGATTTGAATCCGTAACCATAAGAAATCTACTGTTTTGAACATAAACTCGTTTTAATTGAGAAATACAGACTACGGCAATAAAACTTCCCACATGTTACACGGCTTTTGATGTGATGTGAGTGAAGCTAGGGAGATGGTAATGGTGTCTTTATGCAGTTAATGTTTTGCCATGTGCCTCTGCAGAGGGGTAAGACCCCCGCCCCCAATGAAGCATCCTGTGTATGACGATAAACTACATCCACGTTCTGGGTACGATGCTAAACTACATCCCGCAACAAGGAGGTTTTGAGGAACCATCTCTTAATTGCTGGTGTTCCCAGGTCTACCCTGACTCAGCGTGGTAGCACCTGTTAGGGTTCCAAGTCATTGGCAAATAGTTAACCCACAGACTGGGGTCAAAACACTATGAAAGTGTAAAAATAGATTTTAATACCAGCAATACATTTTTTGAAAAAATTAAAAAATTATTTTTTGAAAAATATTTTTTGAAAAAAAACAAAAAAAAAATTAAAAAAAATATATTTTTGAAAAAATTAATTATCAGCAATATATTTTTGAAAAAAAAATATTACCAGTAATACATTTTTGAAAAAAAAGATTAGCAAAAAACATTTTTGAAAAAAGAAAAAATGTTACCAGCAATCCATTTGTGAAAAAAGAAATATATTACCAGCAATAAATTTTTTGAAAAAGAAAAAAAAATTACCAACAATACATTTTTTGAAGAAAAAAACATTACCAGTAATACATTCTTAAAGAAAAATATATTACGAGTAATACATTTTTAAAGAAAATATATTACCAGTAATACATTTTTGGAAAAAAGTAAATATAACTATCAATACATTTTTGAAAAAAAAGAAAATATTACCAGCTATAAAAAATCTTGTCGGCATTAAATAATCCATTGAGGTTGATATGCCGTAAAGGAAAAACGAATCAAACTCGTTTTAACTCCATCGTTCGGTGTAAGTGAATGCATCAACTTCAACTGTAACTCGAACTCTGTCCTCTGATTTTCAATTCCGAGTCGTTATCAATTACACCGACAGCCCATCCAACTTTACAACACCAAGCGGTATCCCATTTAAGTACGGACCACTCCCGACGTTGCTTAACTTCAGTGATCGGACATTGAAAAAATGTTTCTATCTTACACATTAGCCGCATTATGTGATTCACAGCAAGAAATATCAGATGATCGAAATCGAATTTAATGTCAAAAAGAAACATTTTTTTTCTAAGAGAGGTTGATCTAAGGGGGCCCCAATATGTATTAGGCTCACCACAAATGCCCAAATAGACTTTGCACTACATGTTATGCCAAAGCATCAGAGGAATCAGGTATATCAGATTTGGAAGGTGTTTTCATAGGCACCAGGTGCACATTTACACCGTCACCTGTTAGCGGTTGCATTCGGCGTATGGTGTGTTTAGGATTAAAATAAATGAAAAAAATGAATCGAATTTATTTGAAAATTCAATATTATTCCGTTAATGCAACATTACAAGGTAACGTTGCGGCTACGTTGTGGGGAAGTCTACAGAAAAAAAAAAGGTTTTTGCAACCTCTATATAATGTTGCAGAAACGTTGTAGCAAGTTCATTTTGCCACCTGGGTTCACCACTTTTGTATTCTTTTGATTTAGTTTTTGCTTAGGTAATAAAATATATTGTAATTGTACGTAATTCCTCGTGTAATCATTCTTATACTCTCTTGTTGCGGATTTGAATCATTCCACAACAAAGTAAACGCGAAAATGTAATTTAGATATAAAAGTATAAGATATTTTATTTTCGTGTTTTTTAAAGCTAATTTTTTTTAGCGTGTATGAATGCTAAAGTTCTTACAATCCTTGTTTGTTAAGATGAAAAGTAATGTGATTTCTTCGCATATACGCTTGAGAAAGAAGAAGCAAGAGAGAAACTGAGGAGGAGAGTGTAAGTGTCATGTAGCTTGGTGAGGAATACGGATGAATGAGAAAGGAATTTCTTTTAGGATGAGCCGTTGTGAACTGTTGCTGTATGTATCTCCTTTCTGTTTTGTCTGGTCTAGAAACTTTACTTATATACCCTTCAAAAGGGATCACGAATCGTTGGTTAAAAAAGTGCTAAATATTTATTTTCAAATCAATGATTTATTAAACGGAAGTATGCACAATCCACCGACTCAGAAACCATATTTTTTTGTCATTTGGTGTTGGACTGCCTTGGTGTTTATTTCAGTCTTTGCTCTATACTTTCCTGTTTGATGAAAGCCCAATCCGTGTACTATCCTATCACCGGCTATACCGCAATAGAATTATAGTCATTATGCATTTTGCGTTTAAGTATATTGGCAAGACGATTTTCATTGTGTTACTAATTTTATTAGATACTAGAAGTAGAGCTCGGCGTTGCCCAGGGATGTAACAGTAAGAGATAGATCAAGTATCGACCATCATAAAGACTGAAAAATAAAATTGACAAAGATTATTGTTTAAGGTTGACGGACACGCATGTCTTAATTAGTTTTTGTTTTGTTTTGTTTTGTTTTTTACGAATTGGTCAACCCCAAACTCAAACAAAAACATTGTTTTCAATCGTTATGAGTCTACCGATTGAATAGAATTTTATTATAAAATTTGTCCTGTAAATGGAATTTTTAAAGCATTCTGAATGTAAAAATAAAGAAAAAAGTGTGCAAGAATAAGAAACACTACCTGCCAAAAAAAAGTTTTGTTGAAATCGGTTGAAAAATATAGGAAATCCGATCCCATATATAAACGAACACACACACACACACACAACCAACCAACCAGGGTTTTATAATAAGTATAACTCGATATGAGTTGTCCCTTTTCATTAATACCTCTTAATCGTGTTTTCAAATTGATTTCGTGCAAAACCAATTGTGTTTTTCCAATTTTTGGCGCTGTCAGAACCGCTGCAAGGTAATTTTAGGTAGTCCTGTGAAGTTTTGTTGAAATCGGTTGAAAAATGTAGGAAATCCGATCCAATATATAAACGAAAAGACACACACACAACCTGGGTTTTATAATAAGTATGATTTTCCAATCAATCGTTAAAAGCGATTTTCTTGTTATGCTTTCAGTATTGCATCTCTGTTAATCCAGAAATAAACAATTCCTAAGTTTTAGGTAATAAAGTTTCCAAAGCGCAAGAGAAACGATGCTGGTGATTTGGATGTGTCGAAGAGAAGGCGTAAAGTGTTTACTTTTAAATTAAAAGATGGTCGCTCTTGACTTAACTATGAAGGGAAAGAGAATTGTACGATGGGTTTGCTAGGGAAGTTGCTGTGGTGGTCACCAATTTGAGATTTTTATTTTTTGCAGTAAACGGGTTTTAAAGAAATATCTATGGGGTTCGTTGTTGTGAGTGGACGTCAGTTTATGTAGATACCTGCTCATTTTTTCTTCAAAACTTTCACACACATTCTTCAAAATTATGTTTTTCTTTCTTTCTTTCTTTCTTTCTTTCTTTCTACTCTTTTTCGTTCTTTCTTCATATATGCCCACGCTTTCTTTTTCTATATTTCTTTATGAAATTTTTTTCTTTCTTTCTTTCTTTCTTTCTTTCTTTCTTTCTTCATGTATCCCCACTGTTTTTTCTTTTTCTTTAGGACCCTTTTTTACTCTTTTTCTTTATTTCCCTTTTTCTTTATTTCTTCATATTCCTTAATCTTTTTCTTTCAATATTTTATAAAACCATCACCTTTTATATATTAATAGCATGTGACTCTTTCTTTCTTTCTTTCTTTCTTTCTTTATCCCCGCTGTTTTTTACCTTTCATACGACCCTTTTCTTTCTTTCTTTCTTTCTTTCTTTATATTCCTTAATGTTTTTCTTTCTATATTTTATAAAGTTATCACTCTTTATTAATATCACGTGACGCTTTCTTTCTTTCTTTCTTTCTTTCTTTTTTCTTTTTATAATTTTATTATCCTAATTTGTTAATTACATTTCTTGCAGTCCATTGATCTGCAGTACTAATCAAACATTCACTGATTAGAATTAAAAGATAACTTTTCGATGAGACTCAAATTCACGTCCTTTTCTGTCTCAGAGAAGAACATCTTTAGATAAACCCGTTGCTTTAACCTTGAGTACCACTTGTCTCATAGAAATGTAAACTTAAACTCTTTATTGCGTTCCACGGCCTCTCCATGCTATATTTGCTTTTTTTTTTTATATCATTAGTAGCGGCAGTATTATCTCCGTTTTTCTTAGATGAGAAACTTCTTTGGTGGTAATGGGGTTGAAGGCGACACCTATTAATTCATTGTTGTTATTTAGGTGCTATTTTACCTTGTCTCATGAACAGTTGGTTGTATTAAGAATGGTTACAATTTAATTACCAGAGAATTGCATTTCCTAGCATCAGGTTTACCAAAAGGAGGAGGTTGTTTGGTAGCTGTGTATGGGTGTTTATCTGTGTTACAAATAACAAGTATATTCGTGAACAAGAAGCACAAAGACATTTTGTCAAATCAGCATTGTGAATTTTTATTGAAAAATAGTGAATGATGGAAGAGAGTTCAACAGGTTGAAAGTGCTTGTGTAGAAAAAAAAATATAAGAAAGGAATGAAAATAAGAAAGGAATGAAAACTATCCAATTCATTTATCGTTTGGAAGTAAAACTTTTTAAATTAAAGTTTATCCCTTGTTCCTTCTTTTGGATTGGGTTTCCGATTCATTCTAAAGTTTTTTTTTTTCATTCTTTTCACTTCTATTACCCCCCACGTGTCTTAGCGGTATTATCGCTTTGCTTGGGTTGAATTGATTAAAAAAAGGTTTATCTTTCAGGTGTGTCTTTTGTCCAAGAATTTTTCCTTTTCAAAAATATGTTACCAGAGTTCATTCGATCATATTCAAGAACGAAAGAGATTCCATATATTCCGGAAATAAAGTGAAACAACGTTTTTACTTTGGTCAGTGGCTCCTCAGAATGTCCCCGTCTGATACTGCCAGAATCGAGCGCGTGTGGGCCCTTGGCAAATTCTGAGACCAAAGAATCGCTGAGAATCAGACAGTTCATAAGTTGAATCCACAGAAGTTAAAACAGTACAGCACATTTAACACACACACACACACACACACATATATATATATATATATATATATATATATATATATATATATAATAAAAAGAAGATATTAATAGTAATGGTGAAATTAGCCGTTACTTTATAAGGAAACATTCGACATTCATTAAACGAGCAGCAAGTGTTCCTCGAGTGACACTTTTCTTCATTCCTTGGCCATCGGGCTAGGATCAAAGTGAAATATCTGTTCTCCTCATTTCTAATACTAATGTTAATATTAGCCGTTTCTTTATAAGGAAACATTCGGCATTCATTAAACGAACAGCAAGTGTTCCTCGAGTGACACTTTTCTTCAACGTGCAGTATCTGTTCTCCTCCTTTCTATTAGCAAAGGTAACAGGCTTTTTATTTTATCAACATAGTTGTGTTTCAAGTAAATGACTTTTTTCTAGACTCCCTGCCAGGTTGAAAGGACACTTTTTTCTAATATATGACGACAAGCTTCGACGCGACTTGTCTTTCGCACGTTTGCTATATATGTGGCGTTATTTGAACCAACCTTTTGCTCCATCTGTTATCTTTACTTCTTGTTAATGTCCTCCTTACTTCATTTTTTGTTGGTTACACAATATCTTATTTTGGTCCGTTCCCGTATCCTTGTTGGCCTGTATTATCCCGAGTTAATACTCGGGATACTTATCTTTAAGCAATTTTGTTTGTTTAATTTTTCCTTGCAGTCGACTAATGTCCTCATCTTTATTGTTATTATCACGAAGTTTCGACGGCTGTGTCCTCCAGTCTTCCTCAGTTTTCTGTCGAGCCATGTAACCTTCATTTAATCTACGGAGATAGATGGTTCTCCTTCCGTTGTCCATGTCTAGTACTATCTCGTCTTATCCGTGTTTAGCAAAGCTCAGTTATTGCTTGTCCAGTTTCTGTTCAGTTTGAGTTTAAAAAGATGAGATATCCCAGGATATGGACAACAAGACAAAATACAATCTACTCTTATAGATTAAATGAATAGTTCAGTTAACCGGATCGACAGACAACTGAAAAAAGTCCGGAGGGCACAACAGCTGAAAACGTTGCGACAATAACAACAAAGAGGATAACAGTCTGATTGTAAATAATGTAAATAATAACCCTCTTATCCCACAAATTTAAACAGAAAGTTTTTTTCTGTCTTCTTTTTTCCCCCTAAAGCTCCGACTGCATGAATTGAAGCGTGTTACTAGATTGGCAATTAGGTCTCACCGTTTTACTGTTGAATTAGCTAGATGCAACCGCCACTTCTACTCTAACAATTTATTTTATCATCCCTTCCGATTTTTTGCTTCCCTGAAAACTACAATCTTCAAAAGTTTAAATGAAATGTCAATCACAATCTTCTGTCTTCTTGAACGCTAATCTTCTATTGTCCTTTCCTCAATCATCCCCACTAAAGTGTTCTCAATCTCTTTCACTCCCTGTAACCCCGCTGCGTGGCATTCTCGCTTTGGTTGGCGTTAAACGGACCACCCCACAAAAAAAAGATAAAAACAAAATTGACTGCGCTATTTGCAGATCCATAAAAACAAACACAAAAACAACAATGGGTTGCGATTTTAGTCTTTCAGACTGGCGCATTTTTATATTGATATCCATAGCAGAGGATTGTGATTATTGTTCTTGTTTTAGACTGACGTGCTGGTGGGAATAAAAGAACAACATTGTTTAAAGAGTTTACCCAGTACCGGATGTATCGCCGGATGTAACATTTTTTCTGGTATTTTTTTCAAGGCACCACACTGAGTGAACAGATTTTGTATATGTAGAATGAAATTACGGTTATAAAACCGTAGATGATTGGATTCATGCTGCTATTAAGGCCCCAAGTGGCGTACACAAGTTCGATTAATACCTTTGAAGAGAAGGAGAAATCTTTACGAAAAAGATTGCCGAATAACACAGAGAATATCAGAGACGGTACAAAGCTTACAGCAAAGAGAAGTGAAATTAAAACCAGAATTGTGTTTGTATTCTTTGGCTTTTTGACATGTTTTATCTGACTAGCACATCTCTGTAAGTCGACTCGGTAAGTCAGGGAGGAATTGTCTAAATGTTTCCTGGCTGTCTTCCAAATTAAAAAAAAAAAATATTGACAAGCCCAATAAAACGGCTATTAAAACAGCAACGAGTGTCATGTAATACGCATGTAAAGCATCGAGGTAAGATCCGCCTCACAGATATAAATCATCATTTCTCCATTCTCCGTCAAAGGCTTGCTTCTCCGATCGTAGACAAACGAAGCGGTCACCGAAAACGCAAGTGACACAAAAGTTATCACGTAGAATGAAATCTTAACGTGGAATAGGGTCATCTGAGATTTCGTCGGGTGGCACACTTTTTTATAACGGTCGACAGAAATTACCAGAAGAGTGATAGCTGAAGACACGCATACGAAGCAAATGACAGCGTTCTCGATTTTACAAAGGGAGCCCGCTGGGTAGGTAATGGGCATCCATAGTTCCAGCATTTTGAGGGGCAATCCAAACAGGCAACATAAAATGTCGTAGACGGCCAACAGCATAATGAAATGCTGCACTTTCTGCTTCTTCATTCGATAACCGAAGACATATATGACTAGCAGATTGCCAAAGAGGCCGATGACAGTGAGAAATCCGAGAAAGATGAATGCCGGTTTTTTGTACATGCGCACATAGTCATTTACTTCCGCTAGAGTTGTATTATTTCCGGTAAACTCCATGTTTGTTTGTTTTTTCTTCCAGAAATAAAACAAAATTTATTGTTTAATTAGGCAATATTTGCGTGTTTTTTATTATTTTTTCGCGGAGTTTCTTCTGTTACTTTGGCATGTAAGCAGTGGTAAGTAACGCTCTGTCGTTTCTTCTCCAAAAATCAAGTTGTTCAAATCAGAAATCCGTGAGTGGAACTTTTTTCAGAAATCCAGGTGCTGTAGATAAAAAAGAAAATAAAGTTATAAAAGTGTGATTGTAAAATTGGCTATAACCACGTAATTCAAATCTATACAAGCAGCCCAATATTACATTAATTCATTGTTAAAATTTTCCCATTATTTTCCCATATTCACAACATTTCAGCCGTTGTACGCTCCGGCTTTCTTCAGGTGACTGGAATTTCGATCTATGGCCTGGTATTGAACTCACAACTCTTTGGGTCTAGAGACTGGAGCTAACCAACGTCTTTATCCACTGGGTCATGTGTCCTCAAGGCCAGAGCAGTGGTGAACCAAAACTTGGAGGGTTGAGTTAAATGGAAATAACTGAGACACCCGGAAGAGGTATGGCACGTGGAACTAGAACAATCTACCCCGGTGGGCGAAATAAAGGGTTCGGTTCGAAATTCCAATTACCTGAAAAAGGCCGGAGTGTAAAACGGCCGAAACGTTATGAATATGGCAATGAATATGAGGATAACAGTCCGAATAATGCAAATAATGCAAGTAATCATAATGCCACATTTCAGAGATATAGACAGATATTGTAATTTCTCACTTTCAAACAATTAATAAATATTAATACATTGATTTATACAGGATCCTATTATAGGAAAATGAAATAAAATCGATAAATAAAATAATTATAACAATAATAAAAAATAAAATAAAGAAGAAGAGATACATTTCCCACAATGTTAAGAGTAAAGAACCGGAAATATGATTACCCCACTTGTTTTCGTTAAACACCGTTAGTCGGCGCTGGTTAAGTCTATTTCTCCCTCTTGCTCCAAGTGGTAACTACGTTCTCGCTGGGAAATATTTTCTTCCTCGATCAGCTGCCGACTAAAGTGTTGTTCATTTTCTAACACATGGTGTTCACACGTGTCTTCCAAACTTCCACCTATGAAGCAAATCAACATTTTCTGAGGTCGTTTCAACTCAGCGCAAGGCTGATTTGATCTCGACTATTATAACGATGCTTACCTTTACTTGCCCTAACTTCTGGACCAAAAAGAAAACGGATATACTATAATCATGTTTAAATTTTCCAAGGATAATGTAAGTACAAACTTTTTTTTGGTTGTTCCAACACTGTGCAATGATCAATATCGGAAATAGAGCGTTTGTAGATAGAGATAGTGTGCGCTCGTCGGATTTTCGTTTTCACGCATGATGACCGAAGACCCATTAAAAAGCAAAAATAAAATCATTCTTGATAATGGCTAAAAGAATAGGCGAAATCGTTCGGAATTATAGAACACTTGAACAGTTTCTACACACTCTGTGTCCAGAAAAGAAAACACTTGTTCGAACACAAGAAAAAATAAATAAAAAGTTTAATCGTAGTACCGTGTCTGCCGTTTTTAATGAAACGTGTATAAATGAAGGATTGCTGCTTAATTACACAATATATATATATATATATATATATATATATATATATATATATATATATATATAAAAAAAAAAAAATTACCTCAACATAGAGGATAGTCTATTTCAAGTCGTTCTGTGCGCGGCTATCATCAGCTCCTAAGTGTCTGTCTCGGAGCATTGTTTTAATTTAGACGCCTTGTTAATGGGAATGACTTTGTGTTAGCGATTGAAGGGGGCGTAAGGTATTTTATCCCGGGGCAAGCGATCTGGGATTGGAGTTTATTTATGGCCAGGACCTTTTCTTTTTTGTAGTTTAATATCAGTTCCTACTATGTGGTGTTTCTTCTAAAAGCCCCGCAGTGTGTTTTTCTGGGATTCACAGTAAATAGTTTTTGTACTACAGGTGTCCAGTATTATTAATAATTTTACACCCCCACCACTAGCTAAGACAAGCCCATTATCATTAACAAGGCGTCTACCAGAGAAGGACTGACACTGAAAATACATTTAAAACAATGCCCGAGACAGACACTTAGGGGCTGATGACCTTCGCGCACAGAATGGCTTGAAATAGACTATCCCCTATGTTGAGGTAGTTTTTGTTTTTTTGCTATAAAAAATAAAATATACATATGCTCTGTTATAATAAACACATCGATCTCTCGGTGGATCAGTTTTAATAACTAATATTACTAGGCTCCACCCGGATTATATACCAACGGATCGATTACCTCTACTATCTATCTATCTATCTATCTATCTATCTATCTATCTATCTCTCTCTCTCTATATATATATATGGTTGGATAGATGTGAGTTTGTGACCCTGGGTTTCTGATATTGAGCGCTTTCTAATAAGTACCGCGCATATAATATATAAATAATTATATATATATATATATATTTATTTATATTTATATACACACACTTTTCACATATAAATATATATATATGTATATATATATATGTATGTGTGTGTGTGTGTGTGTGTGTGCATATATATTGATGCATGTTTCATTAAATAATATAGACAAGTTTTGTCTATTCATTTTAAGTTCCTTTCATATTGTCTGATAAGCTTAATAACATTATCATTGAAAGACGAAAGGAAATCACCATATTGATACATGTTTAAATTCAATCTAAGCTTTCGGCTTACATCAGCAATTATCAAAGATGACAATTACTTTTCAATATATCAACCAATACACGGACGAAACAATAATGATAGTCTGTTTTTGTTGCATGAAAACTTTTAAACCAACGACAAACTCGTGTATACGAGACGCGGAATCGAAAATCGCGTCGCAGCTCGTGACGTCACACATGACAACGCCATGTGTGACGTCACGAGCTGCGACGCGATTTTTACGAAATATTTTATTGTTAGGATCGATTATTATTGTTGTTAAGTGTTTAAATGAATTCTAGTTTCATTTTGGATTTGAATTTTGGCCTAGATTAACATTTAAGATTGAAAATAAAGTTGAAAATAAGAATTACAAATTTTAATTGAAAAAAGTACCTGCGGATTGCAGATGGCATGAAACTCCGAGTTGTGAAACCAACGTAGGGTATTATATATATTAAATAGCTCTATTATTTAATATTTAGCACTATTTTTTTATACTATAGGTTTTTTTTTTATACTATAGGTATATATTCTATGAGCAGAATCCTACTCCCAATGAATAGACTAGTCTATGTTAAACAATTAGTGTAGAGCTTAATTGTGTTCAAGTGTGACTAACAAGGTAGTGCTATTATATGTATAATCCACAACTAATGATTTTTACGCTAGAAATACACGGGAAATCAAGAATGAGGCATTATCAGTGGTCGGGAAGTAAGTCAAACTTTATTTTCAGAATAAAACTAATAGTCGTACCAACTAAGATTCGTCAAGGTGCGTGTGATAATTTGCTGAAGAATAATATGTCAATGGATTGCTAATGATATACTAAAGGAAAATGATTTACTATAGGAAATCATTGGGGTATAAGGTCAATGGATTGCTAATGATTTACGATAGGAAAAGAGAATAGAGACAGTTGAAATTTCTAGAGCGCATAATGAGGAAAGAGGGCTTGGAAAATGTGATACTCGTAGGGCCGATTGTAGAAAAGGGGGACAGAGGAAATCAACGTATAACATACTTAGTGAGCTTGAGTAAATGGATGGCAGAACAGGGTTTAAGAGAAATAAAAAGACAAAATTAATTAAAAGCTATCAATGTCAGGAAGTTATGGAGAGCCATTATCGCCTACGTCCCGAGGGGACACGGCACATAAAGAGGAAGATAGAATGATAGTTTTCATGTGTAATTGGATACGGCTAAAATATAAACGCGTTGGTAATGATTTGACTATAGAGAGCGAGGTATTTATTAAGCTTGTTTATTTGTCTGGCCAAATGCTACAAACATCAGGGGTCCTCCCGCCTCCCAACGATTACGGATCTCCTCCCTACGTTATAACACCAGTCTGTTTGACTAGATTATTGTCCATTATCCCAGGCCGCAAAACACCCAGTTGCTTCAGTTAAGCTGTCAGTTTTCTTTTGACAATGTGTTTCATTCACTTAAATTCCCGAAGTAAAATCTTTATTTATCAATGTCTTCACTTTCACATTCGTTGATTTCACTGAATTTGTTTGTTCCTCACTGGGTGTCCCGAACTTTTAGTCTTGTGCCACATCTAAGCTACGCTTAGAAAATCAACAGGGCACTTCAATGTGCTGCAATGATGAGCAAGCTTGTTTCGCAATTACAACTGGATAGTGAGTTCGATCCTCACTGGGTGCTCTATACTTTCGGCCATACGCCGCATTTTATCTACATTCATGGTTTTATCATTCTCCCACCACCGTTACTAATCATTTCTACCAATTTACAATTTCTACCATTTTACAATAACTATTAGCTAATTATATTATCACTGTCTCCAATCCCTTGCAACATTACTATCACATCATATCATATAGACCCGTTATTAAATTAAACTACCCTCTCACCCAGCACATTAAATATTAAACATCACCATATAAATTAACCAATAAGGATTACAAATTTCTACCTGTTACATATACACAGTCACCAAAAACAAACAAATAACCAGCTTTAAATATAACAAATAAACCCCCATTTTTTTCAAAAATTTAAAAATAAATATAAATAATAATAATTTTTACCTATCATAATTTTACACAAACCCCACCACATATATATACATACATGCGAGGAAATATTCAGCGGAAAAATACATAATATGACATGTATACATTCACGAGACATTCACGAGACATTTCCGCCACACTTCCAATCTTTAAATTTCAACATTTCAGCATACAAATGCGTATGTATAGACACAACACCACCCGTATACATACATATGTCATATCCGAAACTGCCCACATATGTTTATATATGTATGAGTCCCGACGGACGACCAAGTATGTATATGTGTCTGCATACATCGATGTTTGCGTTAGTACGATGAATGACAAAACGCCGAAGTTTCCCCCACCACTTCCACAATAACACCAATACACGCAATCTACATAAACCCAATTTTTTTAAAACATTAATCAGTTTGTCTGACGATCGCTAAAGCGTGAAACCCAGGGTCACAAACTCACATCTATCCAACCAAATATGTTACTTCTATCTCTGATATTGAGCGCTTTCTAATAATTACCCTTATATATATATAAATAATTATACATATATATATATTTATATTTATATTTACACACACACACACACACACACACACACACACACACACACACACACACACACACACACACACATATATATATATATATATATATATATTATTAATGGAAATCTTATTAGTATAAGATACTATACTCGCTCGGAAAACCTTCGGTGTATTGATTTGCAAATAAACAAGCCAACACCAAAGGGAAAGAAAGGTATATAAAAAAGAAAGAACCAAGAACATGTATGTTAACCGAAAATAATCGTCCAGTATACGAGTTCAAGGCGCAAAGAAAAAAAAACCGATACGAGTAGGCAAATAACTAAACAAAGTGCTCGATACAGTAAGTAGATCAGACCTAGTTAAACCTAGAGATAAACCTAAATAAGGTTTTTCACCTAAGTGGATCGTCAGGCAAGGCTGGCTCCCCGACGATCCCTTAGGTGAAACTTGGTAGGTTTGTCTGGATCTCTAGGTTTAACTATATATTATTATTATTTATTTATATATATATATATATATATATATATATATAGAGAGAGAGAGAGAGAGTGAGAGAGAGAAAGAGAAAGAGAGGAAAAGTGAGAGAGTGAAAAAAAAGGCTCGCACTCGTGGTTTTCATCGTACCTAGCAGATCAGTTCTTCGAGCCGAACAGCCACAATACTCAAACATATGATTTGATTATGGTAGTCAATATAATATATATATATATATATATATATATATATATATTAAAAATGTGTGTGTGTGTGTATAAATATATATTCCCAAGAGGATAGAATACAAGTAGAACTCAGTGTCCACGACAGAGTAAGAATAAAAAACATTAATATTCCATGGTTATAATTTATTACATTGGAATCGCAATTTTGTAGGTCTGAGGAATTGATCGTGATTACGATTCCAATGTAATAAATTATAACCATGGAATATTAGTTTTTGAGCCTTTTTATTATATATATATATATATATATATATATATATATATATATATATATATATTAAAACGAGAAACCGCAAACGTTTTTGGTTTATAATGTGGATTTGATTTTTTTATATATATATTATTTTTTATTCTTCATAAAGAATAAAATATAATATATATATATATATATATATATATATATATATATAAACAAATAAATCCACAGACAGACAGACAGATGGAGAGAGAGCGTATATAAATAAAAAATAGTCACTGAGGTCAACACCTGGCGGCGACAGTCTATTTGATGCTTGAAAGCAATTTTTCGGCCATGAAAATTGTCTTGAAGATTGTGTTTAAGCATCAAAAAGACTGCTGCCGCTTGATGTTGACCTCAGTGTTTACTTTTATATTTACATACATGTGATACAAAAAATATTACCAGCAATAAAAATTGTCAGCATTAAATAACCCATTGAGGTTGGTATGCCGTATAACAAATCAAACCAAACCAGCTGCATACGACAGTACAGTTGGTTCAATATTTGCTACATATACAAAATCACAAAATACAGGTTGAAACAAACAGAAAACATTTTAGTTTCGAAACATGTCAAATTACACACGAATACAAATCATCTTATTAGCCGCTGCTGCTTGGCTGTTGATGTTGTTTTTGTATTGAGATCAATGGTCTTTCTTTCCTTCCGTACAAATTGAGGAGTAGACAAAAACAATTTTTCTCTTGGTAGGCATCTTAGGGCTTTTTGAAGAAAGATTTCAAAGACACAAAATTACTCGGGGGTGGGGGAAAGTATATTGTACGGAGCTTGAAGCGCGCATGCGAATGCTAGCGGCGCCGGAAGCTGTGGCGGAAATTCTCGTACACTCAGCTGGGAAACACTCACGACTCTAGACTGGAGCAATCGTGGTCAGACGGCTCGGCATATCAATTCTCAGTCGTGGTCGTAAATTAGAACAGTCGTATGTCGCATAGATCGTAAGTCAAACAATCAATGGATCTAAGCCGTCATTATTTTTATTACTAAAATGTTATATTCTGTGAGTACACGTACTTGAGTAGACAAACAGGATAAAACGAATATAGGTTTTGTCTCTGTCGAGAGGTACATTTTTTCTTTAACACAACCGTCCAGGCCGGCAGATGTCAGTTTCATTGTTTAAAAACAAAGATATCCGTTCAAACACATGTAGCTACTAAATCTAGCGTTTATAGTCAATAATATAAAATTCGTAATATATATATATTTAACTGGAATTCGAATCTCCGATTCCTCAGTCCAAGCGGCTATCCATTACTCCACCGTGCTTCCATTACATTCACTTATGTGCTAATACCAATGGGAAAGGTGTGAATCCTCTTCTTCTCCCTCCAGCTATGGGTATATAGCAAGAGAGACTGGGTTCTATAGCCTTGGATGGCAACTGGCCTAGGAGAAGGACAACTCTGAATTCAAAACCTGCGGAGGTTTGTTTGGGGACCTTGTGGCACGTAGTGCACCAGGTCTCTGCATTTAGCCCTTCAAAAAGTGTGGATGGTTCTGCAAAAACCTTCACCACTATAATCAAATCTCATGTGCTGGTGTCGGGCTCTCGGTTTCCCTAGAACTGATCTGTTTGACCCTCATACGTCGAATTCGACAGGAGAGTCGAGTGTCGATATATATATATATATATATATATATATATATATATATATATATATATATGCACGATTCATTGAATACGACAGACAGGGTGCTTTGATTTAGTTTTATACAATTTCTCATGTGATCTTACCATTTTTTTCTTTTCGGTACACAAATTATATAAAAACTGTCCAATTGTTCTTTCTTTCCGAGCGCTTTTGGCTATACATTTAGGCATTTTCAAGGTGACATATATTGACTGTTAACAAAAAAAAAAAAAATAGATAGCTGTATGCATGTATTTATATAATATTTTCATTTTTAAAACACGATCAAGACATTCTGTCCATGTTCATAGTTGATATTACTGATTGTTGTTTTTTTTTGCAATATTTGAAATGCTCCCAGTGTTTTTAGCCATTTTTTTTACATGTAAACACATCCACACATATATATGTGTTTGTACATGTACACATGTAAACACACATATGTATATTGTTATATAAACGGTATTTTTAAAGATATTTTTGAGTCGCTATAGCAGTTTTTTTAAACGTGAAGTCACTAAAATATCGTTTATAGCAATAAGAAATAATGTCAGATAAAAAAAAACAATTTAATATATATATATATATATATACCAGTCTGTTCGAATCAGTCTCACTTTTAATCTATCTCAGTTTGTTACATATCTGTCTCTGTCCTGTTATTTACCCATAGCTGCAGGAAGAAGATTCATACCATTCCTATTCCAAAAGCTAATGCACGTAATTGACTGTATTGAATTACGAGTGGAATTCGAACTCGGCTTTCCGATTCTTCAATTCGAGCCGCTATCCATTACTTCACCGTACCTCTGCTTCCATAATTATAGCATACCTTAAAACTACATTTTATAATATATATATATAATTAATTCATCGAGTCTGATAGAAACCTCAACAGAATGCAGAAAGCACTGGACGGCCGTTCCGTCATATATTTGCGACTCATCAGCAGTTCGCATCCGCAACCGAAATTGAAACCCTGACAGTTAGGTTGTCAAGCGAACATCATTCCAACTCAAAATAAAACAACGGAATATGGGCTCAAAACATGGCGAAGCTGCAAATCGTCACCGAATATTTGCTCAAACAGTTGCGATGCTCGCTCACAACCAAACCGCCACGGAATATTTGGTAGTGGATGCGCACTGCTGATGAGTTCGATAGGAGGACGAAACGGGTCGTCCAGTTTTTTGCTTTCTGCTTTCTGGGTTGAGGTTTCTATCAGACTGATGAATCAATTAAATATAATTATCAAATCCTCCTAATAATTACTATATATATATATATATATATGTATATATATATATGAAGAAAAATATACGTAAAAGACAAACAAAATCCTAATATGCAATTATGCTGTTTTAATGTTAATATAATGTCAACGTCGGACGTTTCGGTCTAATAGACCATCTTCAGGATATATCCATAAAACATAATTACCATAGACCATATTCAATTCAACATGAAAAAGACGATGGACATAAAAGCAGGACCAATCCAAACAGATAACTGAAATCTTATGGTCTATGTTAATTATGTTTTTATGAATATGTCTTGAAGATGGTCTATTAGACCGAAACGTCCACGTTGACATATTAACATTAAAACAGCATAATGCATATTAGGATTTTGTTTGTTTTTCCGTATATTTTTCTTCATACTGTCTCTATATCCATATATTTGCTTACATATATATATATATATATATATATATATATATATATATATATATTAAATATTAAAATGGACAAAGTCCGACAATTTATTTATTAAAGACATTTTATGTTTAACGTTCTTTTTATAGATACAAGTATTTAAGTAAATGCTCTGTTTATAATAAACAGTATTAAATAACATTTACCGGCCTGAATGTCTGAGAAATTTTCATAGAAAATATTCGTCCTTTGACAGGATTCGAACCATCCTATACGGAAACCGTCATTTACGCTGACGTGCCTTGATATATATATATATATATATAAAACTGAATATTGAAGTCAACATTTAGAGGCGACAGGCTGTTCACTTTTATATTTACACACGCTCTATCTCTGATATTGAGAACTTTATCCCATAAATATAGCACACCTTAAGAGTATATTTCTTCATATATATATATATATATATATATATATATATATATATTCGTTTGTGTGTGTGTATGCGTTTAGACTCGAGGTATCTTAATGTATATGTATAGGTCATGTCAGAGATCATTCATTGATAACAGTACCATGTGACCTAGAACAGTCTTTCGCATGTTACAAAGAGAGGATATGGGCATTGCCAAATAATATCCGTTGCCCTGAGGCATGATACGAAAGAAAATTACTCGGCATGGTACTTTGCCAATTTAATGTATCATGGGCACGTCCATATTCACAAAAGCTGTTTTGTTTTCTTATTTTCTTGTGGAGTAATTAATTGAACAATGTTAATTGCATATGAAACAGAAAATGGAGAATTAACACATTTGACTGATAGTAGTAAGCGGTTCCTCTGACCTGCATGACTGAGCGGACAAATAACTGATAAGTAGCGATAAATATATGACGTTTATTATGATACATTACCACTGTCAAGGTTGAAAATGGGTGTAACATTTTTAAAAGTTTATTACTGCCTGAATGTTAATTATGGTAGAGTGGTTTGCGAGAAGAAATCTATAATTTCAGTAGTTATTATGCCCAGGTTAAGGGCACAAGTTTGGGACCCCGGTGAATTTGGAACTCACTGCAGTAGAAATGAACTGGGAGAATATATTTTTTGAAAGGACTAAGTCTGTATCATATCTATCTATCTATCTATCTATCTATCTATCTATCTATCTATCTATCTATTATAGTGGAACACACCTATTCTATAGTTAACAAACTCTCCCACCTATAATAAGTAGGAGTCGCTCAGGGGGTCGGTCAATCAGTCGATGCCGGACGACCGTTAGCCGGATATTAAAGTATCAGCCACCACAGCTAGATTACTCTGCGTTATACCTATTATATCAAGTTCCTAATATTTTGTACGTCGAACCTATTTTAGGACCGACTTAGTACAAATACAAGCCTCCACTGTGAAACCACTCCATAACACTATCTCAGTCTGTTCACTATCTATCTATCTATCTATCTCAGTCTGTTTACTATCTATCTATCTATATCTATCTATCTATCTATCTATCTATCTATCTATCTCTCAGTCTGTCTATCTCTATTAA